ACCGAAGATAAATAGGAAAGTGCATAGGCTAAATGTGGAGAATAAATTTGAATGTAATGACTACAGTAAAAGAGTGAATAGACATAAGAAATATAATTATCCTAGTTTAGCCTAACAATATCTTGGCCTACTTCTAGTCCTTCAAGTCACCCTATAACTCCAAGAGTATTAAGATTTTTACTGTCTTATAGAAGTTTGAACAATAATAGGCATTTGCAACCACTATAATTCCAAGACTCAATCTAGTCTCCAACCCTTTTTACTTTTACAACTCTAGATTGCTATCACTTGCATCTCTTCCAAGGCTCCAACACCTTAGGATCACCCAAGAATATAGTTAGTGGACAAAGTTCGCAAAATCGGAATTGTCACAATTAGAGTAGATACAAAATTTGAAGTTCTAATAGAGCAAGAGGGCTTTTTAAATGTAGGTGTTAATCTCTTACCTATCAACTTAAATTGTCAAAGTACTTATAGTTTTTTCAAGGATAAAGACATTAAAAACATTAAACTAGCTGGTACAAAATAAATAAAGACACTAGTATAAAAAAAAAATCATTTTTGTCTATTCTGAAGGCCTTTTTTTTTTTTTCTGTTTCATAGGGGACATTGATAAAAGAGACATAGATAGGAGATACATAATCGTCTGTTAGAAACAAATGAGTATGATCAACTCATACTCGTTTTCTCTTAGGAATTAATGAACCCATCATACTCATATGTTCCTAACTAAAGAGACGAGTTGACTCATACTCATCTGTTCCCACTAGAACAGATGAGTATATTATTTTTTTAAAAAACATAAAATTTGTAATTGTATATACCACTAGCTTTCGTTTGAACTCTATAAATGAAACTGAACCAAAATAGGCTACAATAATAGCAGGAATTCAGCAAAGGCTCATTCATGGTAGTTTCCATACAAATAGTATCCTAATGACATCCTGAACAATAACTTATGAAAATAACATCCTGATTAACTTAGTGAAGTGAAAAAAAACTAAACTCCCTAAACTATGACTATCAACCTTATCTATCATTTTAAGAGAAATACTCTTGAAAATATTGTCTTGCCAAATGATCTCGAGCAGCATCAATGTCTTCATTAGTGTAAGAGCTTTCATCATAAAAAATCTATAAGTTTATAAATAAGAAAATTAATTTATTCAACATAAGATAATTAAAAGAAAGCTAGAAAGCTAGAAATCAAATAAAAAAACCAAATAATTATAATCAAACTAATTATTACCATCTCAAAATCTTTAGTACATCCAGACTCAATAATTTCATAAATGAAACAGATAATATAGTATCTGCACTCTGTACTTCTTGGTTGCAGATGACATTGTAAATCAAAAGTAAATAACAAAGATAAATTTAAGTATATATGAAGTAATTGTTTATGAAATTGAAGAACTTAAATTGAAACACTTACTATTAGTTTGTACCAGGTCGTCTTGCTATTTTTACCCTCGCGCTTCCCACCTTGTACATAATATTTCTTCAAAGACCTATGACCAAATAAAAATGACCAGACATTAGAATAATTTAATGAAATAAGAAAACCATATAAGATGACGAAAACTTACATATTGAATACAAATTTAATATTGCTATTTGGGCGACGACCTAATGAATCAAACTAGTAGATGACATTGTTTGCAGGGCAAGCAACGCACAATGACCAATGTTTGCTGAAATATTAAAAAGAAATGAAACCAGTGAATTCATGGGAAATTATATATATAAATATATATAAATAGATATAAACTACTTACTGTTCAACAACTGGGGCAAAATAACAAGGTAATTGGGTTTCTCTAATTGTGTTATCCACGCATCTCATCTGCTTATCAATGGGGTTCTTTAAAGGTTGCAAAATAGCTGGACACGTGATTCCATATAAGTCTCCCTTTCCCGTAGAAGCACACAAGTTATGTAAGTAACTATAATCAGGTTAAAATAAGTCAAAAATTAGTTCATATGTATGAGTTAAAAATGAGCACACAAAAAAATCATAAAATAAAATCACATTGTTACTGATTAAATCCATGTAATGTCTAGCTCATCCATAGATAGGAAGTCCTTGATGTCATTTTGGTCTAGTCCAAAATGATACATCCTTTCCTCCCCAACAATCCTAAGAGGCAGTACCCCTTTCATTATCCTAATGAAAATAGAATAAAGATAAGTATTATAAGGAGAATATGAACAAAAAATCAGAAAATTGGCAAGTGTTTTGTACCATTACCGATATGATGTCAATAAGTCTTTAGGCTATAAAATAAAATATCCTTTTGGTTGACCTAGTTTAGCAACTTCGTCACTAGGGAACAGGACATTTGCATCTGCTTCTTCCTCTTGAATAGCTATGACCATCATCTTAACTATATCCGCTTCAATTTTCGTATGATGAATTTTAGACCCTCGTGTGTATTTAAGAGCATCAGTAACAGCACACATATTTGGGTCATCTAAATAGAGAATACAAGATTTCCCATCATTTGATGTGGGACTAGGGTCAAGTGAAGCTAACGGCACTTGTGGATTGAAGCTACCTTTTGTGCTTCCATAAGTTGGGAAATTCTAGATGCATGACACAAATGAAAGCATGGAATTAAACTATAAAAATGATGGCTCAATTTAGAGAAAATTAAACTAAGGTTAATGTCAAACCTAGGTGTACGTTCTTCTTGTTGAACTTGCCTAATTTGCATGCTAGAAACCAAAGATCTCACCTCCTCACGAATCTCCGACTTAAGCTCATTTTTAAAGAATTGACAAATCTCTGCACTAGTCACAATCTCTTGATGAACTTGTTCTCGAACTTTAACCATCAAGTTAACACTTGGGACACTTCTTCCTAAAGAGCTTTGTGAACTAGAGCCAAAGAATTGTGTTATACCAACTATCTTTGATAATCCTCTGACTCGACCAAGACGATCTAATTTCCTAGTTATTGTTTCCAAAATGTCCATGCTTCCAGCTAAAGTGAAAGATCCTTGACTACTCTGCTCCTCAAGTGCATCTTATAACATTCAAATAATAAACAAAAACAAATTACAATTATAGCAGTAGGATTGATATATTGACCGTTCTTTATCCTTAATTGCATCCTTCCCTTCTCTATGTTGAGACAGAGGATCAGGGGTCTCAACAACAATGCTAGGGCTTGATTTTGTAGCTTCTTGCATTTGTTTTAAATCAGCCTCTATCATATCCAAAAATTTAAACCTTGAAGGAAGCTGGACTAGTGATACTAGACTCCTAAAGGCAAAACTGGAAATTTTGCAAAAAATTTTTGAAAATTTCCCAAAAATAGAAGAAGGCCAAATTAGATATTTTTGAGATATATATGATATTTTGGGAGTGAAAATGGCCCAAAATAAATTATGGTGGAATTTCCCCCCAAAAAAATTATTTTGGAGGGAATAGTGAAAAATTAAGAGAATATCATTATTTTAATTACGTAAGGGCCTCAATAATTCAAAAAAAAATATGGATAAATTCCTTGGAAATATATGTGAATTAATAAAATTATTTCCTAGTATTGGAAATGAAGGGAATAATTTATGGGGAATTTAATTTTCAAATTCTATTTGTAAGAGCTCAATTTCAGAGAAAGATGTAAAATAAATAGTTAGAGGTTGTGAAAAATTCCCAAACTTTTTAGATCATACTTTTAGAATGAATGAGGATTTTTCATGAAAATAAATGGATTTTTAGAGGTCCCAAGCTATTTTTCCTAATATAGGACTAAAAAGGAGTAAATTGGACGGAAGATTGTAATTGGATGTGAACCCAACCAACTCCATTACTTCCCAACTAAATTTGAACATTTAGTTATCCCAATTTAGTCAAGAAAAAGGTGCTCCCCAAGGCCCAAGATCACATGTCAATTTGGTGGCACATTTTTTACCATAAGATCAACTTTTCTTGGAGAGCAAGCAAAGATCTTGTGACCCATATTTTTTGCCACTTTGACGTAAATTTTGAGGGCATTTTGGGCAGAAAAATAACTGACCAAGGCAGGTTTGGGTGGTTTATGGAGGTCTATAAATACCCCTTCCATCCTTTCATATTTCGTCCAGGTAGAGAAAGTATATATTGGGGAAGTGCTGCCAAAATTTGTACTCACCTTTAATCACTATCAAACCACTCCAAGCAAAGGCCAAGCTATCAAGTTTCAAACTAGGATTACTCAAGGTATGTATAAGCTTGATTTTTATGCAATTGGAATGATGAAATCATGACTAATCCTAAGGGAAAACTATGTTGAAATGTTGGTCAAGCATGAGGAACACTAGGGAAGGATAGAAACTTTGATTATGAGCTTGGATTGGTATGTTTGGATGTTGTTTGGATTGATTTATGAAAGAAAATCAAGCTAGGGTTTATGATACCCAATTCGGCCAAGTCTTGTTCTTAGGGTTAGGGTTAGGGGTGGGAATAGGCCAGGCGGCCTGTCAGGGGCCTATAGCCTGGCCTGCTTTCGGCCTGATCAGGCCAAGCCTGTTAGAAAATAAACACAGGCTCAGGCTTTTTTCAAGGCCTATTTCACCTAACAGGCCAGGCTCAGGCTCTATGAGAAGCCTATTAAGCCTGTCAGGCGGCCTGGGCCTGTTAAGTATTTTAAATATTATATGTACATTATGCAAAAGATAGGTCTCGAAGTTAAGACCTGATGAGAAGAATGCAGCACCTCCACCACCAGACCAACGTGTGTTGTTAATATGTTTTCGCATAATATATAAGTTTAAAGCTACTTAAATAAATTGGCAAAAAAATTATTTGCTCCACACAAACTAAGTTCCATCAGACCAATAGACCATCGCGGACACACAACTTCCCCTAGGTTTAGCATTTTCGCCTCTGTTCATCGCAACTCGCCGAGAGCTCGCCGGCACCACCGCTCTTCTTAGTTCTCGCAACCGCTCTTCTTAGTTCTCGGAATCTCAGTCGAAGACTATCTCAGATTCAGTTTCTAGAGCTCGCCGGCACCACCGCTCACTCTCAAGTCTCCATATCCGAGCTTCAAAAAGTTGAACGGTCGGCCTTCATTCAGACCTTCGGTGCTCGCGACGTCGGCTCCTCCTCCTCGTCAGTCTCCAGTTCTCGCGACATCGACTCCTACTCTAGTGCTCGTGAGTCGTGACGTCTGCTCCGATCTCCAGTGGTCGCGGCCCTGTCTCCAGACTCCAGTGCTCGCAAGTCGCAAGTCGCAACATCGAGTCCTCCTTCTGGTCAGTCCCCAGTCCCCACTCCTCAGTCATTATCATAAAATAAATGCCGTGTCTGTTGATTCTGTGCTAAACTGGAAAATGCCATGCTGAATTGATTCTGTGCTAAACTGGAAAATTAATCCCCGCTTGAAGTGTTCATTTTTATTCTGCTTTTGATCATAAAATAAATGCTACGTGCTAAACTGGGAGCTATTTTCAAGTGAATTGATCCATCGCTATTTTCTGTGCTTTTGTTCATTTTTATTCTGCTTTTATTAGGCGGGGGTGGAACCGTGGAAGGCAGAGGGAGTTAGATGGGATAGGAATTTTTTGGGGAGGGGAAGGGGGGTGGCCAGAAGAAGAAGTCGGTGAAAGCTGGGAGCTATTTTCAAGTGAATTGATCCATAAATGAATTATACTGTTTGCAGAATTGATCCCCAGTGGTACCATGAAGCGAATACATGATTTTAGTTAATGCTGTACTGATACATGATTTTTTTTTCAATTTATTGTTCTGATTTTTTGCATCAATAATGGAATGCTAATATATGCTGTATGTTTCATTTCCAGTTAATGTCATCTCCGTTTGAGAGTGAAACAATGTCATCTAATTCAGTTCCTTCTAACGCTATTGTGGCTAGTCAACAAACACCAACAGATTCTAGTCAACAAACTAACGAAGGAAATGATGTTAATGATAGTATTATTCAAAAGAAGAGGCGAAAAACCTCAACCATTTGGGAGGAGTTTGATCAAGTTGAAACTGATAATGGGATCAAAGGGAAATGCAAGTATTGTAAACAACTATTCTCGTACTCAGGGAAGGGAGCTAGTACTAGCCATCTTCGAAGACATGTCACTGTCTGTTTGCAAAGAAAGTTGCTTGTTTCTTCACAAAGCAAGCAACCCACAATTCCATTTCAATCTTCCAATCTGAGCATTAATCCATTTTTGACACCGGGTGCTAGATATTCTAATGAAAAGATGAGGGAAATAATAGCTACTGCAATCATGGTGCATGAACATCCTTTTAATATTGTTGAGGATGAAGTTTGGATGTGGGGCTTTCAATATGCAAATTCTGAATTTCAAAAAGTATCTCGAAAGACAGCAAGAAATGATTGTTTAGCGATATATGAGGCAGAGAAGAAACAATTGAAGGCCTTATTAGAAGGTGTGAACAAGATTAGTTTGACTACTGATATGTGGAAATCAGCTCACCAAGTAGCTGAATACATGGTCATCACCGGGCATTTCATTGATTCGGGATGGAATCTTCAGAAGCGAGTTTTGAGTTTTGTGAAAGTTCCTGCTCCTAGACGAGGCATTGATGTGGCAGATGCTATTTTCAAGTGTTTGAAGAGTTGGGGTATTGAAAACAAAGTGTTCTCTGTGTCAGTTGATAATGCTTCTTACAATGATTCTTGTTTAAGAGCTCTTAAGGACACTTTATCACTTAGTAGTTCATTACCTCTAGGTGGTGATTTGTTTCATGTTAGATGTTGTGCACACATATTAAACTTAATGGTGCAAGATGGCCTTGGAAGAATTAGGGACATTATACATAATGTTCGAGAGAGTGTGAAATATATCAATTATAATGACTCAAGGCTGAAAGCATTTTGTGATGTTGTTGAGCAGAAACGTTTGAAGGAAAGAAAGCTTATTCTTGATTGTCCAACGAGGTGGAATTCGACATATAGGATGCTGTCTATTGCTTTGAAGTTTAAGGTTGTCTTTCCTGATTATAAGGAAAGAGAGCCACATTATAACTATGCACCATCAGAAGAGGATTGGAATAAGGTTGAGAAGATTTGTAAACTTTTAGAAGTATTCAATCTAGCCACCCATATCATCTCAGGTAGTGAGTATCCTACTGCAAATTTGTACCTTCCTGAAGTGTGGAGAGTGAAGCAAGTAATTGACAATGCTATAGAAGATGGTGATTTCTTCATAAGAGAAATGGCAGCTTCAATGAAAGAGAAGTTTGACAAATATTGGGGAGAATGTAATATGCTAATGGCCATTGCAAGTGTTTTGGATCCCAGGTGCAAATTATATGTTGTTAATTATTGCTTTCCTTTGATTTATAAGCCTGATTATGTGGCTTCTGAGAATATAGATAAAGTGGTGAGTGCTTTGAGATCAATGTATGATGAGTATGTAAGCATGTACAAAGGAGACACAATGGGTAATAATGAAGTTGATAATGCTGGTAATAACTCTTCTGCCGATGCATCTGGTTCTTCTATAGTTACTGGATTTGATCAAATCATGAGTATTGTTCGTGAAAAGCAAGCAGTCCCACCAATGAAATCAGAATTGGAAGCTTATCTTGAGGATGGTGTTTACATTCCTGATGGTAATTCTAACTCCTTCAGTGCCTTGGAATGGTGGAAAAATAATAGCATGAAGTATAAGATTTTATCTAAGATGGCTGCTGACATATTAGCTATTCCAATCTCAACCGTAGCATCGGAGTCCACTTTTAGTGCTGGAGGTAGAGTTATCGATGAATATCGTTCCAAATTGAATGAAGAATCAATTGAAGTGCTTATTTGTGGTGGGGATTGGCTTCGCAATAAGTATGGCTTGAGGAAAAAACCAAAGGTATAAATTTTGTACTGTAAAAGTTATATCGTTTCTTATTCTTCTTACTTCTTAAATTGTGATATGATCTAATATTATACATTTGATTTGTTTTTTTTTGAAGGTGCTCGAACAAGATGAAGAAATTATATTGAAATTTGATGATTTGCTACTGGTGGCTATTCTTCTTAAACTTGTTTGTAATGTTGTTGTACTTGGTATGTTCTTGTTGAATGTTAATTAATAACATTATTTCAACTTGTATTTTAAGTACTTGAGTTGTGGATTGTGATTTTATTTGAGTTTATTTAGTTGTATGTTCTCTCTCTTTTTTTCCTGTTTGGCAACTATGTTTCAGATCACAAGTGGCCTGTTTCGGCCTGTTTAAAGACATAGGCCTGTATTCTGTTAAGGCCTGTTCTGGCCTGTTTAAAGGCCTGTTCTTGGCCTGTTTAAAGGCTTAAGCCTGTGTTTCAATAGGCCTGTTAGCCTGTTTATAGATTTTTAAAAGATACAGGCCTGTTAACAGGCTTCAGGCCAGGCCAGGCTCTTATATAGGCCAGGCTTAGGCCAAAAAAAAAGCCTTTAACAGGCTACAGGCCAGGCTCAGGCCTATTTGTTACAAATCAGGCCGAGCCTGTTAAGACGATGGCCTGGCCTGGCCTGGCCTGTTCCCACCCCTAGTTAGGGTTTTGTTTTATTGTGTTTTGATGATTCTAATGAGTTCAAAATGTGTTTTTGTGTAGGGAAGCACTAAGGAAAAGTGTTTAAAATCATTAGAATCAAAATAAAAATTTGAAACCCTAAACCCGGATTTTGATGAGTTGGATACTTTTAGTGAGTTGATATGATGATTTTGCATAGGGATGTGTTGAGAGAATGGGTTTGGAAGCACTAGAATAAAAAATAAAACTTTAAACCCTAACTATATACTATTCGGCCAATTCATGTTCATGGGAAAAGAATGTGATTTTGTAAAATCTAATGGGATATTTAGATTCTACATGAAAAATTATGTAAGAATGACCTATGAGATTGATTGAAACAAAGGGGAAATGATTAGGTCAAAAATCTAAAAAAAAAGAAAGGGGTTTAATGCTCAAGTATTGTATAATGTGTTTGAATGGTTGGTAGATGATTAACATTGATGTTGGTTTGATAGGTACCTTGTCCAATCATCAAGAAGACACCCTAAACCTAAAGGAAACAAGTCACTAAGTACACAAGAGGTAGCATTGAGTTATGATTAAAGTGCTTTCTTGCATTCATTTATGTGTATGTGTATGTGCTATGAATGCCATGATGTGACTAAACTATGCTACTGAGTTATGATAGCAATGTTTATGCTATGCTGCAAAGTTATGATTGCAATGTTTATGTTATGCATGCCTTGGCACTATGTTATGTGAATACCTATGAATCGGCTTACTTTCCATGGTTTTTCACTAAGTATGAATGATAAAGTTATATGCACAAAAGCATGTCACATTATGTTTGCATGATTGCATGATAATTATGATTCTTTGCTACTAGAATTTCTTTGAAATCTCATTCCCCCTCTATTTAAACTAACCTTAGGAAGAGGATCAAGCAAGGGTAAGGGCCAAGAAGTGGTGAATGAAGGCATGTAAATGCTTAGTGATGTGACTAATGGCCATTTTGTTATGTTATGTAACATTTTGAATATCTATGTGCTTCTTGGATAATAGCTCCTCTAAGGAGATAAACATGTATGAACATGTATGACTATGTTTAAGCATGCTAGAATGTATGTGCAAGCATGTTATAAGTCTCAAAAGGTAAAGGATGGGTAAAAGATAAAGAAAAAGTAAAGTTGGACTTAATTAGGTGATAAAATATCCCAAAAAAGGCCAAGTTTAAGACACATAAAATAATAAGCATTTCTTTGAGTTTGAACTGAAACTTGGTAGACTTAAAGATCATAATTTTAGCTTTAAATCAAGTGGTAGAATGTTGAAATTGGAGTTTTGTATAAAGAGTTATGCCCTTCCAAAATTGGGCTAAAATACTGAAAATTGAAAAATTTACCATATGAACAATGCACTTTGTCAAATTTTTTGGTGTCGTTTCAAATGGAATTTAGGCTAATGATCATTTTTCCCCTAAATTAATTTTGGCAAGTTTCAAGGGAAAATTGGAATCACCCAAATTTGATTTTTCTACATTTAGTGATGAATTTTTAAAGTTGACCCCAAAATTCTGTGAATAGTGTACGGACGATATGGAATTGAGAAGTTTTAATTTTGTAAATTCTCTTTCCTAAGCTTTGAGAAATGCTTTATAATATTTCTAATTTATGTATAAAGGAAGGTGTGATAGCCTCCATAACCTCTTGTTGTGCCTTCTTGTAATCCCCACGAGATATGTAATGTGATATAAATTTTTTGACTGCTTCTCTTTATTTAAAGCACTTAATTTCTATGAAAAGTAAACAAAATAAAGTTAGTTAAATAAAATGATATTAATTTTTGTAAACAAAAAGTTAATGATCAGGAGAAGTTTACTTGAAATTCAAGATCTAGCTGTGATGCCATAAATCTTCTCTAAGTTTGCCTCAATAAAAAGGTATATGTTACATGGGTTCTCATCTTTTTTTGCTCCTTGAATGCAGGTGTAGTGATAATTGTCTTAAAATCTTTTCACCGCTCATGTACTAGGTCTGGCCAATGCTTCCTCATTTCAAGGGTAGGAGGAACATTGTAGGTTTGTTGCAAAGTTCATGTATAATTGTCACATCCAGAATTTTAGGCCTAGAAGTACCGAAATTAGCCTATAATGGGCAGGCTATCAGATCCTTTTTGATAGAGGTCCCAGAGATTCCCTAGAAGGACAAAGGGATTCCCACAGACTAAATCATAAATAGAAAGTTTGTTTGGACTAAGAAAAGAGAAAGTTAAAGATTCGAAAGAAGTCTCGAGGCCTAGGAAAAAGAAATAGAGATAAATATAGGCCAAAGGTTATGTTGGAGGCCTCAATGAGGTGAATTTTGGTGTTAGCCTAACCAAGGGAAAAATCATAATTTTGCAATGTTGGGCTGGTAAGGCCAAAACTGGAAATTATGCCCGAAAATTTCAGAAAAATCCTAGAAAATGGGAAATAGTATGTTAAGGCTTGAATAATTCAGAAAAATTTCTAAAAAATAGGAATAGGGTCCAGAGGCCTATATGAGGCTAAAAATAACAAAAATGCCGTTGGAAGGAATTTATGGAATTCCCAGGGTTTTCAATAATTCTGAATATTATTGAAAATGAATTATTTAAAGTATAGGGAGGCCTCAGATAATTGGAAGAAAATGGGAGAAAATACTTGAGGAATTATCACTTGTTTTAAAAATAATTTCATTCTCAGAAAGCGAGAGGTTAGCTTTAATAGAATTTAAAGCCTATTTACACACTATCCGGGAAAAGTCAAAATCAAATGTCTAGGTGTTGAATTTTGACTTAAGAAAAATTAGGAAAATTTCCCATGATGAATAAATAGTATTGGCACCTGCAAACAGATTCTCAAAGTTGTGGACTGGTAGAACGAATTCAGTCAAGTTGACTCTGAAATAAATATTATTAATTATTTTAATGACAGAACAAGGGAAGAGCATCATTACCTCTTTAGGCATGTTATATAATGCCATGTGAATTTATTTAAGGTAAGAAAATGGTACCAAAACATGCCCAGTGGTCCCGGGTAAGTCAAGACCCGAAAAAGTACTGGATACGGTGTAGAATGGCAAGACAGGTGAAGGAATGCCTAAGGGATGTATTTTGCATGAATTTTATATTAATTTCCTCTCTATTTTAATGCCAAAATGATGGAGGACTACGGAAGAGACAAGTGTATGGTTGGATGGAAGAGATACATGTATAGTTGGATGCAAGACACGTGTACGATTGGATTAAAGGCATGTGGCTTGATGATGTAAGCATGATTAGGTAAGCATGATGCCATGAGGACACTTGTTACCACAAGACAAAGAAGTAAAAATAAATGGCCAAGATTTAATCTTGTAATTTTAAGATCAATAGCTAGGATTTGTTCTTAAATTCTATAAATACCCCCTCCCATCCCCTCATTTTGTCCCAAGCTCATAGAAACCATAGAAAAACTCTTGCAAAATGAATTTTAGAGAGAGAGAGAAGAAAGAGAGAAAAAGGACAAGTGATTTCATGCGAGATCAAGCTCTAAAACAAGGTATATTCATGGTTTTTGATGTAGTTTTCACTACCCTTATTGTTATTGAGCTTCGCTATGAATTTTAATAATTTTTGGGAGCTTGAAACCCTTGGGGGATACGCTGCATGAAATTCTTAAGAATAGGGAAAGATGAAATTGATGTTATAATAATGTTTAAAGGCTTGAAATAAACAAGAATCAAGTAATTTTATGTTAAAATTGATTGAATTTCATGACTATGTAAGTTGAGTAATATTTCAGTCAAGACTAGTTCATGGGGAAGGAGTTTGATTTTGATTATTTTGAGCTTGGAAATGGATTCTACATGCAAAATTGTTAAGGAATAGTATAACGTCTCTTTTACTAACATATTATATGTCAATTGGAACCATCATAACACATTTCCAAATGTTTCTCGATGAAAATTTTCAGTTTTAAAATTCCACATTTAATTCTATCTGTACACTGTTCATCCGAATTTGGGCCAACTTTGAAAATTTATAAGTAATTCTAGAAAAAACAAAATGAGGTGATTCTAATTTTCACTCAAAGATTGCTAAGAGTTCTATAAAGAAAAAAATATTTATTGGACTCAATTCCATCTAGAACAGCACCAAAAAATTTGACAAAGTGTACTATTTATATGGTCAATTTCAAATTTTCAGGATTTTACCCCAACTTTGGAAGGGCATAAATCTTAGCACACAACTCCAAATTGGATGGTTTGTCACTTGATTTAAAGCTAAAAATGAGATCTATTTTCCTGTAAAATCTTAGGTCCAGATTTCATTATTTGCTTATTATTTTATTTGTCACAATTTTACCCCTAACTTAGACAATTTTATCCTTTAATCACTTCTTGAATTTTATATTCCTTTTTCTTTTTTTATACCCTTTAGGCATTCTACCACTCAATGTTTCAATGTTAGGACATGCCATAAGGATGTAATTTACATCATATTACCATCCAAAATTCATTACAACTTAATATAAAGTTCATTAAAGCATTATATAACTTTTCAAAATATCGTGAATTCCATATTGCTCCTTCATCCTAAAACCACTTCCTTGCCCTTGCCATCAGATGAACCATTCCCTATTTGGTGCGTAAATTAACATAGGAAGAGTGAGATTTTAAAAAAATCTCAGTAGCATTTGAATTACAATTATCATGCAAATCAAGCAAGTTACAATATGACATGTTATAACTTCAAGACATCCTCAAGCCACATAAAATCATATCCAACAATATGCTAGGAGAGGAACATTAATACTTCCATATTAACACAATTCAATGCATTTGGCGAAAGCATAAACCATGGGTATCCACCCAAAAGTCACAATACAAGTTCTTCAGTCCAAATAAACAACAAATCACATTAAACAAGCAAGATATACAAACAAATTATAATTCAAAGCTACTTTTTTTTTGCACTTGATTAATTTGGTCTCCTCAAGGGATAATGGTTATCCTTAATTTATCCTCACAAAGCCTATTAAATTAAGCATAAAAATAGGTTACATTAATAGCCAAACTACTTAAATATGACACTTTGTCTTTAGCTTAACAATTTCTCCCCTTTTTCTTGGATTTTTAACAAAATAATTCTTCCTTTAAAATCAATAACCTCATGACTCATTCCTACACAATTTTTCATGAGGAATTCAAATATGGAATCTTATTTTTGAAAATCAAACTTCTTCCCCATGAATTCATCTTAGCCGAATAGGGGGTATAATCTTCCAAAAATTCTATTTTTGATTCCAATGATTTTGAACACATTCCAATAATATACCACTACATCAAAATATGTTTTAAACTCATTGGAATCATCAAATCAAGCCAAAACAATTTTCTCCAGCAAGAACACCCCTTGGTTGAATTAAGCATATAGAACCTTAGGTGTATTTTCTTCCAAAAACCAATTCATACACCACTTAATCTTGCTTATTCCACTTGGTATTTAAGCTTTCTATCCTTTCCTAAACATTACAAGGTCCAGCGAAAGTTTGGTAGCATTTTTCTTAATTTTTCAAGCCAAAAACCCTTACTAACCAAGCTTGAAACTTAGGAATAGGGATGCCTAAACATACCTTGATGTTCTCTTGATAAAAACTGAGTGATTCCTTGCCCAAATATCTCAATATTTTCGGTTGACTAGAGCTGGAACCAAAGTGACAAAACCTCCCCTTGTTTTTCTGTTTTTCCAACATTTTTTGTGTTTTAGGAGGGGGTATTTATAGAAAATTGTAATCAGCCCCTCCCCCTCTCTTGTTGGCCAAAAATGGGACACCTCGGGGGGTATGTGGCAGCCATTTAGAGCAAAAGAAATCAGATTAATCCAAGTAGAAATTCTAGACTTTTCCAACAATTATCCCTTAATTTTGTATTTTATTTAATTAATTATGTGGAGTGGCCAGCAAGCAAAAAAATTAGGCCCTTATTGGGCTCAATGTGGGCCCCACAAATGACTTGGACTGGCCCCAAAAGATGGCCCACATCCCAAATCAAAATCCCAAACCAATTTGGAACTTTATTAGTTACTATTCACTAGTAACATTCTATAATTTTTTTAGACCTCAAAAAATTTATTTCTCTCCATGATAATTCACCTTTTGATATAAGAACATGATCTGAAAATTTTCAAAATTTTTTGCCACCTCTAGGTATTTATTATGAATTTTCTCCGATTACGCCTTTATCGATGTCACTACAGGAAAATAAATTTCCCAAAATTAATTTTTGAGTTTCCAAGGCCTACAACCAATTTTATAAATTTAAATAAATATTTAGATGATTTATTCATTCTTTTTCCAAATTTATTGAGGCCTCTAACTAATCAAAATAATTATTTTCCTCCTATTTTCCAATATTTTCTCAAAAAACGTTCATTTACGGGAAATTCCGTAACAATTTATTTTCACCATAATTTCACTTTTTGGGCCCCAACCGAGTTTTCAAAACCTCTAATTTACACTTTTCTCATTTTTTAGGATTTTTCTCAAATTTTTTCATTTTGCCCTTCCTAGACCGATAATTATGAAAATGCCAACCCAGACCTTATCAGGGTTTCACCTCAAAAGTTGTTTCGTATCCTTATCTAGTTTCTACTTTGGCCCTCATCCCAATTTTTAATCCCTTATAGCCAGGTGAAATTTCTCGGGATGTAACAATTCCCCCCTTTTTAAATAAATTTCGTCCTTGAAATTTAGAAACATACATTAATTAAAAAATTCTAGGTATCTGGCCTTCATGTCATCCTCCTTCTCCCATGTGGCTTCTTCTTGAGTTAGATCTCTCCAAATAACTTTAACCATCAAAATAGTCTTATTCCGCAGTTGCTTAATCTGTCAATCTATCATTTTCATCGATTTCACCTCAAAGGTAAGGTTATCTAGTAGCTCTATGTCTTCGTATTTCAAGACAAGTGAAGGATTCAGCTAATATTTCTTCAATTGAGAAACACGAAAGACATCATGAATTTGGCTCAGATTAGGGGGTAGGGCCAATCAGTAAGCTATCTGGCCAACCCTTGATAAGATTTGGAAGGGTCTGATGAATTTTGGTGTCAATTTACGGGCCTTGATCAATCTTCCTACACCCCTAGTTGGAGAAATTTTCAGAAAAACATGATCTCCAACTTTGAACTCTAGAGGCTTTCTTCCTACATCGACATAACTTTTCTGTCTACTTTGGGCTGTAAGCAGCCTCTGTCGAATCATTTTTATTTGTTGTGAGGCTGTTCTACTAAATTGGGACCAAATACCTTTCTTTCTCCCAATTCTGTCTAGCACAATGGAGATCTACACTTCCTTCCTTATAATGCCTCATAAGGAGCCATTTGGATACTGGAATGACAATTGTTGTTGTAAGCAAACTCAGCCAACAACAAGTACTCATCCCAGTTCCCCTTAAAATCTAGGGCACAAGCTCTTAGTGTATCCTCTAATTTCTGAATAGTATGTTCTGTCTGCCCATCTGTTTGAGGATGGTAAGCCATACTAAAACTTAGCTTAGTGCCCATGGGTTCTTGTAGTGCTTTCTAAAATCTAGAGAGAAACTGTGGGGCCTTGTTGGATACGATCGTTTTAGGTACTCCTAACCTCACAATTTCTTTGATGTAAATTCATGCCAACTTCTGAGGTTGGTACCCCTTCTTGATGGCCAAAAAAAGAGCTGACTTCGTCAGGCGATCCACAATCACCCATATCACATTATAACCTAATGATGTATGAGGTAATCTCATCACAAAATCGATGAAAATGTTATCCTATTTCCATTTTGGGATACTCAAAGGTTGTAGGGGTCCTGAGGGTTTCTAACATTCAACTTTTACATTTTGACAAGTGAGGCACTTTGACACATAGTTCGTCACATCTTTCTTCATACTAGGCCACCAGAACGATTCTTTAAGATCTCGATACCTTTTGGTCTTGCCTAGGTGTATGGTATAAGGATTCTTGTGTGCCTCTTCCAGGATTTACCCCTTAACTTCTGAGTTTGGGGGAACGTAAGTTCTTCCCTTATATTTTAGGATCTATTCCTGAGTTATTTCGAAATCCCTTGTCTCATTTCTCAGCACTTTGGCTTTCAAAATGTCAGCCAGTTGATCTCTCTGTTGGGCCTTCTTGACTTGTTCAGTGATTTGTGCTTCCACTTTCGCAATGCCAATCTGGCCTGCCATTAGCTGTATTTGGTCGATGAGATCCAAATCTTGGATATTTTCAATCAACTCTTGTTCCTTTATTGTCAACGATGCCTCTTGCACCATCTTCCGGCTTATTGCATCTGCTACCATGTTTGCTTTCCTGGATAGTATTTAATTTGATAATCATAATCTTTGAGTAATTCCATCCATCTCCTCTGTCTCGTATTGAGTTCCTTCTAATCCTACAGGTACTTGAGGCTCTTAAGGTCACAGTACAGTTCAATGGTTGCCCCATACAGATAGTGTCTCCAAATCTTCAAGGCATAAACGATTGCTACCAGCTCAAGATCATGTGTGGGATAGTTCTCCTCATAAGTCTTTGACTGTCGGGAGCCATAAGCAACTATTCAACCCTACTGCATCAGCACACATCCTAATCCTTGCTTACTCGCATCAATATACACCATATATGGCAATATAGGATCAGGGATTATCAGCACAGGAGTCGAGGTCAATTTCTGCTTCAACTCCTGGAAGCTATCCTCACATTTAGCATCCCCATCGTACGGTTGATTCTTCTGAGTAAGCTTGGTCAGTAGTAGGGCATTTCAAGAAAAATCCTATATAAACCTTCTGTAGTACCTTGCCAGTTCCAAAAAGCTTCTCACTTTGGTTACCGTCTTGGGTCGTTCTCAATTCAACACAGCTTCTACCTTACTTGGGTCCACCTCTACTCCATCTCGGGTAATTATGTGACCTAAGAACTTTACCTCATTTAGCCAAAACTCACATTTGTTCAATTTAGCATATAGTTGTTTTTCCCACAACGTGCCCAATACAATCCGTAGATGCCGTTCGTGCTCCTCTGGTGATTTAGAATACACTAGGATGTCGTCAATGAATACCACTACAAACTGATCCAAATATGGATGGAAGATTCTATTCATGTAATCTATGAATACAACAGGTGCATTCGTCAATCCAAATGGCATCACCAGAAATTCGTAATGCCCATATCTCGTTCGGAAGGCAGTCTTCAGGATATCTTCTGCCTTGATCCTTACTTGATGGTACCCTGATCTTAAATCGATCTTTGAGAGTACAATGGCTCCTATCAACTGATCTAGCAAATCGTCGATCCTTGGTAATAGATACTTATTCTTGATTGTTACTTTATTCAACTCACAGTAGTCTATGCATAATCTCAGGCTACTGTCCTTCTTTTTCACAAACAATACTGATGCATCCCACAGAGATACGCTGATGTATGAACCCTTTCCCTATAAGCTCTTCTAGCTACTTCTTTAGTTTTGCCATCTCATTTGAAGCCATTCGATACAAAGTCTTTGAAATTAGGTTTGTTCCAGGCACTAGGTCAATAGCAAATTCAATTTCCCTTTCAGGGTGTAATATGCTAAACTCTGTTGGAAATACCTCAGGGAATTCTGGGACCACTGGGATATCCAAAATTTCTTCTTCTGTTTCTGCTTTCATCAAGAAGAACACCATATAACCCTGACAACCTTGCCTCAACCATCTATCTGCTTGAGCTACAGAAATCACATTCAATTTCACTTCTGCGTAGGGGTTAACTCTCGGGTGGGAAGGATCAGTGTTTTGTTTTCACAGTCAAGGAGGACATTTTGGGAGGACTATCACATCCAGTAATATGGCAATTGGGAATAAGGGTATTTCTAAGTAATTAAAGGCCAAAAAATGACGAGGAGAAATAGAAGAGTTTTGGTGGAAAATAATTATTATAGTTTTCTAAGCCAATTATGAAAAGTTTGACTAATTAAGGAAAACTGGTCAAGAATAATTATGAAAAAATATTTTCAAGTCTCAGAAAATTAAGGAAAAATAAGGACAGGGTTTCTTGAGAATTATATGGGATTATAAAATTAATTTTATGACCAAACTGCCCCTAGAGAGATTACAAAGGAATTTAAGGGCAATTTAAGCCAATTTAAGGTCTTTATTTGGAAAATTCCAAATAAATATATTTAAGAAGAATAAAATCCCAAAAAAAATTTTATGATATTCCAAAGAATTATAAGATATTATAGAATTAAAAAAAACCCTCAAGTATATAGGATTTTTCCCAATTCTTTTGAAAAGTGGAAAAATCAATAAAGAGAAGGAAATTAGTTTTTTCTTTTTATTTAATTATTGGAAAATTTAATTTGAGACAAAGAGGGCAATTTGGGAAGATAAAAATGAGAAAAATAATTTATGGATCTGATAGAAAATAATTACAGGGGCTAGAGTACTATAATTATAGAAAAGAAGTTAAACCCGGAGTAAAAGTGCACCGATAAAGCAAGACTAGAGTCTTGCAATTCAAATGGCTCACAATTAGCCATGTGTCAAGCCTCTAATGGATGGTAATTAAAGCTTTCCAAGTGTTAAGCTATCAATGGAGAGGATCTTGACTTTGAAATTTAATTACATTATGATTTAAGTTAATTAAGAGGGAAGATTAAGACTAAGTAGGCTCTTGACACTTGGCACAACATTAATGATGGTTGGTGGGATATTTTGTGTGCATTGAATGAGCTTCTCCTCCCCTAAATCTGATCTACATTTCCGCCAAGGAGAGTTAGAGAGGAAAAAGGAAGAGCTTCAAAGGAAAACCAAGAGAAAGGCATCAACTTTGGTCATTCAATCAAGGATTCAAGGTGAGTTCTTAGTTCTAGATGTGTTCTTGCCTTGTTTTCCTTCTCTTTTATGGTTGAAAAATCTATTCCCTCTCTCTCTAATGGTTGGTCAAACTGAATAATAAAAGGGGAAGGGAGTTTTGTTCATCACACTTGCTAAGACACAACAACACAAGTTAGAACCTAGTGTTTGCAAGTGATTATAGTTGGTTTTGAAGCATTTTTCATGGTTATGTCCTTGAGTGTTATTTTCGGCCAAAGCAAGATCTAAACCCTAGGATATGTTTTTCAAAGTTTTGAGGCTTCCATTGTGTTCAAAATGAAGAATAGTGTAGGGTAAACCTAAAGACCAAGTGTTGGAAGCCATAGAATCAAAGTTGCAATTTTTGGGTTTTAAACCCTAAGGGTTCAGCCAAGCTAAAACTGGAAGAGGAAAATTTATTTTGTTAAATCTAAGTAGATATTTGGAATCTACATGAAAAATCATGTGGGTTTGAGTCAAGAGGGAATTTTTAGGGTTTATGGAAACCAACTCTAAAAATTCAAGAACAAAGATGAAAGCTTTAAGGGGCTTAGGAGTTACTTGAGTTATGCTATTGATTTTATGAGGAATGGTTGATGATTCTTGCTATCCTTTTTATAGATTTTCATGTTAGGGTTTGGCACTTGTGGAAGCAAGAAGGAACAACAAGAAAAACATAAAGCATTGGATTAAGGTAGTGGGATCTAATTAGCCATTAATGTTAACTTTGCATTGTTATTTATGGCATGTATGCTTGCTATTATATGGTTGAACTATGATGTTGTGATATGGTTGCTCCTTGCATTTTTTGCCATGGCCTTGCATGTTGAGGTTTCCTATTTATAAAAGATTAGTTCTCCTATGGTAGCTAATGTTGAAATGCTTTATAATGATGCATGTTAATGTTTGGTTGATTGATCTTGCTACTGGGATTTCTTAAAATCTCATCCCCCAAATATAATCTAACATTTTAGGGCCTGAAACTCCTATGAGCAAGCTGTAGATTGGAGACTAAAGTATCGTGTCTTGCCATAAAATTCGTGGACCCTTTTTGGTTATGTATATATTAAGCTAACAGTGCTGTAAGCACAATGACACTGCCGTGTTGGTGCAACTTTTTAATTATGCTCCCGAATACTTTTAATCACGAAATTTGGTTTGACTATAGATAACGTCCTGAGCTTCAATTTGATAGCTAATATGTTAAAAATGGCCTAGTATACGAATTTTAATGATTTTGCAAAGTTAAAGGTCAGAATCTGGGAAAAGGGTTTTTGGCAAATGGACAGTGTTGCATTTCACAAAAACCTGACACTTTTTCATAAGGAATTAGATCATGAGATTATTTTTCCTTGAAAGAGGACTTAAATAGATTTAAATAGAATTTTGAACCATCCTATGTGGCGTTTTGTGGAATAAGTTATGAATTTTTGAAGTTGGGCCAAAAAAACTGGATTTTTACTTGATGAATAGTAAAAATCCGAAATTTAGCGTTTTAAAGTAAAAAGTGAGCCCAAGACCATCCAATGTGGTCTAAAGTGATTTTAATTAAATTCTAAGTGGATCTGATAGTAAGGTGTGATATTTTTGGTATCAGAGCGGAGGTTCTGGCATAGGATAGAACGCTCTGCTTAATTAATATGTCAGTTAAAAAGAAAATTGACATATTCTTGAAGAAGAGTACTATTGTCTAATTATTAGATGGTTGGTTATTATAATGTAGGGTGGAGTAGAATGGCTTGTTGTGACCACAATAGTGATTCAGAGGGTTCAATTAACCAAAGGAGACCAGGAGAACCTTTCCCTCAATGGTTCGATAAGGATGAGGACTGTAGTCTTATAGCAGACTTCTACTATGATACCTTATGGGAGAATAACCCTCCACCTGATATAGCCACTGTTGCTTCCAATGATCCTCAGAGGATTGAGGTCATTGAAATATCTGATGATGTTGGAGCTGAGCCTAGTGAAGTCAAGCTACTTCTAATTGTGAAAGAATTTCACACCATAGAGGACCTAGCCAGGGATTTTAAGGAGAAGGGCTGGTACATTAAGTCCGATAAGAATCAAAATGCCCATGTGTACCTAAGATATCTAGAGGATATCCAAAAGCTCTACCATTATGTGACTAGGGAAGATGCTACCCTAGAGATGATAGACTGGATATCAGCATTGCTTAGAGTACTCCCTCAGACCTAGCTGTGGAAAGATGGTGTAAGAGACATTTGTAGTCACATGAATAGTGCTAGCTTCAACGATCTCATTGATGCCCTTGAGATCTTTGTAAGGAATACATTTCCTTGAGTTGATACCGAAGACTGGATCCTAATGATGACGATATGTTCCCGTTCATATGCTAATAGTAGAATGAGTTCTGTTGTTTAGATTAGATATTGGGATCTGATGTTGAGTTAATGGACCTAAAGCTTTAAAAATTTTACTATTTCCCATTTTGGGTAGTCAATTGGACTTTTGTAGTACTGACATAGGACTTGTATTGTTACAGCTAACCGTAGCAGGTTGGTTTGGCATGCTTGATTGTTGTGTATGTTTCTAAGATGGCTATGTATGTTAAATTATATTGCCGTGACTAATGATTGATGCTTGATTGACATATTATGAATGCATATGTTGTTAAATGAAATCCAAGTATGTTGTTTAGTTTCTTGTTCATCGAATATGTTATCCGTTTAGTTAGTGTATTGGTTAGAACAAATAAAACGCTTTGCCGGAGAGACCCTTAGAACGCGACGGAAAAGTCTATCATAATCCAATACAATTAATTTCGGATTGCTTAGAACTGCAGTAAAAGGCTATTGAAGGGTTAAGGGAGGCACAATCTAGCTAGGAACAAGAAAGAAACGTTGTAATAGTAGCAGCAGTAATAGTGGCAGTGGCTAACCTCGATTGGAGGTAGCTAGAGGAAGAAAGCTCAGCAGCGCAAGTCACAAAATGATTGCCTAGGTTGGCAATATTAGCGGCAGACCCCAATAGCACCCAGCAATGGATGACTCGCTTTTGCAAGCACAATCTGCCATCTTTCGATGGAATGATTGACATCCAAGTAGCAGAGGACTAGATCAAGATTTTCAAAGTTCTAGACTGTCCGACGATGTGAAAAGCCCAAAGGGCAAGTTACAAGATAAACAAAGGTACCGACCACTAGTGGAAGAATACCAAGATTCTTTTGGATGCTCAGAACACGAGAGCGACATGAGAGGTGTTCCTAGAGCAATTCCATGAGAAATAAGTTTCAAAGTTAGCCAGGGACAGAAAGGAAGTAGAATTCCTAACCCTGAAGTAGAAGGATAACGAGTCAATTGATGAGTAGTTAGCTAAGTTTAGACGTCTTTCTCATTACTTCAGTTACTGGCGTTACTGAGATGATGAAAGGTAGATGACTAAAAGATGGTCAGAGGCCTAAAGCAATCCTTAAGGGAGACATTTGCTCCCAGGCAGTTCGAGCACTTCGACAAAGCAGTTGAGGCCTGCCGAATTATAGAGAATAGTTTGAACAATCATTTGATTATTAAACCTACTCCCAAGTTAGAGGAGGGAGATCAGGGTAGTACCTCTTCTAATGCGAACGTGAAGAGGAAGAGTGATAGGACAACCAAAAGAGTAAGAAGGGAGGTAAGCCTTCCAATGGCAAGGAATGCCTAGTTGCGGTAAGAGTCATGATGATGGAACATATATGGTTAAGTAAAACATTTGCTGTACTTGCAGTAAGTCCAAACACTTCTCGAGAGAATGTTCACATAGTATAGAGAAGTTATGGTTACGCACCCAAGGACGAGTACTTACCATCACAGGGAAAGAAGCCTGAAAGT